TATAAGTTGTTTTAATCACATATCTCACAATAATTACCCACAACTTGTTTGTATTTTTCGTTTTTTTTAATGACTGGAAAATTTCCGTATTATTAGGAACTCATTTTAATTTTTCCCTAAAATAAATTTCTTTGAATTAAAACGGCCCTTATTATAATACCTAAAAAGTATTAGTAATAGGTAGTGAAAATCATGCCATAGCGACATGCACATACATAGAATTAACATAAATCTTAAAATTCCTATTGAATTGTTGTTGTTTTCGATTAACTAACGAGAACCATGTTAATGAATGCCAGGTGTTTTCAACCCAATTATATGGAAAGGTAATTCCTGGGAAATATAGAGTGTGGATAACCGGCATAAAAAGTACTTCAACTGTTGGAATTATTTTGGATATAAAACGGTATTTTAGATTACATAACCCAAATAACCTGACATGTAAAATATGCTAAATAATGTGGTAAAATATTATAAAAATAATTTACTCAGAATTAAATAAGATATAATTAAAACATGGATAAAACGGGGTTTATGACATTTAACAGCCGATCTATCCATTTTCTTCTCTCTGTCTCAAGTTTCAAATACGCAGGACGTCCTTTCGGAATTAAATATTCAAGGCAGTAGCCAGGTTGTCCCACTCCGAAATGGTTACTTTCCCACATTTTTGGAAGTTTTATTTGACTAGTTGGGACGCCTAGTTTCAAAATGAAAGTAAATTTTAATTTTGTTTAAAGTAAATTTTGTGTAACGGCGTTTTTTTGAATTCAGATATCCTATACGAATATTGAAGATTCGGCTAGAAAAAGTTTCTAGAATGAAAAAATAGAATTAATTCCAGTAAAACTTTTTCATATTCTTCTCATAGATATTCCAAAGTATAATACAAACCCGAAAGTCAGTCGGTATGCCTAAATGAGAAATGTAAAAAATGCCAAAGCAGTTTAGTGGGATAACTATGAATGAAACCGCATCGAAAATAAACACAAACCACTGTATGGAGATTATACAAAATAGTACAACTCTCTTGACTTTTTCCGAAAGAGTTTTATAAAAGTTGAGGCAATTTTGTGGAAAATTGTGTCTGAAACCTTTAAAATTCCAATAATGAAAAAGTCCGTAAATGGGTTTATATAGAAATATGACATAAATTATATTATTCTTTACAAACAAGGAGCGATAACGTTTTGACAAGCTAAAATTAAGATCTTAAAATTAATTCGGTTAATAAATGCTTATAATCGGAAAGTACCGTAATGGTGTGCTCTTCCAAAGCATTTATCGATCCCGCTTCTTTTTCGCTATCGAACATTCAGTCAAAATTTCAATGCCTTTTCACAAGTCATTGATGATAGATTGTTAAGTTCAATCGACATTTCAATGAAAACATTACATAAATTGGGATAATGCATCGATTTGTTCCAAAGCGAGTAAAAGTGGATTTCATCAAGTTTCTAATTGAATTTCACACTGTTCTGCCTGGAGGAGTTTGGAACTGTCTGCAAATTTTTGTTTATTAAAAAACTTAATTAAACAATCCGTCCAAAATTGCATCATAAAAAGTGAGAGAATAGATAGACGAGATAGACCCATAGTTACTTTTGAGGATCCTCATAAAATCACATTCTGACTCGTTTTTCTGACATGTTTTTGTTGTTTTTTTGAAAACGAAGTACAGGTCTCATTTTTTGCTCTGTCAAGATGGAGTTTTGCACAAATCATTTTTGGCCCAAAAACTAAACCTATTGAGATAATCGTCGGATTTATATTTTATTGTGAACAGAATATGTATTATTAGCCCAAATAGGATGAAATTTGACACATGCGATCAAATTGAGCAAGTGTGTCAAATTTGATGAAAATCGGTTCAGTTATAGCTCCCGTATATATCGCTCATTCGAATTGTTATTTTTACTCCACACAGCCGTAGTATGCACTGCCTAACAACGATATTCAAGGAACAATATCAAATAAAGCAAAAAATATCTTTGCCAAATTTTACCGACATCGGTTAAGATTCAATATAGCTATATATCCGTTTTTAAGTTCCTCACATTTCTTAAATGCACACCACAACTACGGTATTTGATGACAGCTATCGGATACAGCATACAAAAAAAGCTCTGCTAAATTTAATAGAGGTCGGTTGAGATTTGGATATAGCTCCCATATATATCTTCATCCGATTTCAGGCTTATTGTGCACCCAATGGCTAATATCAGCCCAAATGGACTAAATTTTGGCAATTTCGACAGAATTCATCCAAGAAACAGATACTTCAAATTTGATGAAAATCGGTTCAGATATAGCTATAGTTCCCATATATATGTTTCATCCGATATGGGTTCATAAGTCCCTCGAATTATTAGTAATTTGAATGTAAAATGACACCTACTTCATACTTGTTAATGGTTGTAACATTGGTAACAAATTTTTGAGACAATCACAATACCGTAAGATAACGAAACTACATTTTACTGAACGGAATACACTTCCCAATTTAGTTGACCGTTTTTCTAACAAAATTTTGTCACTTTCCTATTTAAAATTGTAAAATTGTGTAGACACGACTCTTTTTTGATTTTTTTTTTCTGATGTTTTGTGCAAATAGTTGCAACAGTTGAAGATTTTTGCACACAAAGGAACGGAGTTTACCATTTTAGTAAGAATATTTCTTAAATTTATTTATTCTTTAAAATAGCGTTTTTTATCCAAATACGCAAAAACCCACCAAAAACACTGCCCAGTTAGCAACACTTGCTGAGAGCCGAGAGAACTGAGAAGAGCAACAAACGGCATTAGGGAATAGTGGTGTTTTTTTTTTCGTTTATTTCTTCATTCTACTAAAATGTTTTGGACGAAGAATGTAAATAAAAACAAACTAAATAAAAAACAAAACATTAATTTTTGGCCTATTCCCTTTTGACATTATCTTTCGTGTTTTTGGGCAAAACAATGTTGTCGCCTATTCTTATAATTAAATAAAACTAAAATGAAATAATAATGTGAGTGCCACTGCTACTCTCCCAGTCTCGCTGAGAAGATAAATATTATGGTGGGTTATTGGTGTATGAGTGCAAAATACATTTGTTGTATATCTTCTCACTGAGAGCATACACCTTTTCTTGTTTGACATGAAATCAAAAGGAATAAAAAAAAACAATAGTAAGTACAGAACTTGAGGGGGCAAGCATTAAAATGAATAATTTTGTTTCTCATTGTTGTTTTTTTTTTTTCATTTGTGGCACAACTGTAATAAAAACAACAACAGAAAAAGAGAAGACACCATGAGTTCAAAAAATTGGAAAAGATGACAATGAGAAGTAAAGTACACCACCATCACATGAACGGACAAACAAACGAAAGAACCCGCCGAATGGTGTGACAATGATATGTATGCATAAGTATGGTACCATCCCGAGAGTTTGGTGGATTTGTTGTAAGTGGTGTTGTTGTAGAAGGAAAAACTGTAGGCAAAGGAAGTGGCAACAACAAATAAACAGACAAAGAAAATCCAAGAAGGAGGAAACAGCAATAGTCATAAGTAATAATATGGCCAAATGAAGGAATGAAGAATGGAAACAAAAAGAGGTGGTGGTGGTGTGGCTGGTGTTTCGTTTGGTCGTATTGTTGTATCTGTTAAGATTGTTGGTTGGCTGGCTGCTTATTCTTCTTCTTATTACGCGCAACGCAAAACATAAGATGACGGCGAGGATGTTGCACAGCCAACCATACCCAGCGTACAAACACACACACACACACCCAAACACACTCACTGACAATACACACCACAGCGAATAACACATCTGCTGCTGAATACAATAAAATAGCTTGTCGTCCGTCATTGGTGTTGCCGTGTTGTTTTTGTTGATTTCTTTGCCGTCGTTTTTCTTGAGTATTGTTACAATTCAATGCACTCACAATACACACACTTAAATCGAGGCACTCGCCACACACAAACACACACACTCACTCACATATTTCAATCCAAATGAGAGATACATACACCCATTAGAGCAGCATTTAGCAAAGCTAAATATTACACCAAAAACACACACACACACGCACAGATGTGACACCAACAACAATGGCCAGCCAGCCACCAGACCATCTAACTGTGGCAAGAAAATTGTGAAAATTTTTCGCATTTAATGATTTTTCCACAAAGAAAATTTGTTTAGTTTTTTTCCGCCGTTTTTGTTTTGCTGAATTATTTTTAAAATAAATTTCAATTTCGTTATTGTTGTTGTTGTTTTTATTGTATTATTTGCTGAGTATATCAATTTTAATTGATAGTTGTTGTTTTTGTAGGCTTTGGCTTTTGTTTGTTGGTTGATCGGACGTACGGTCGGTCGGTAGGTAGTTCGGTATGACGGTTGGATAATAAAGACAATTTTAATGGCTAGACCAGACAGAGGGAGATACAATTTTCTTGGAATTTCGTATTTTTCTTCCTCCTCTTATTCTTCTTCTTCTTGCACCACCATCACTTGGGCCAGTATTTCTGTTTCACTCATTCATCATCAATCAATGATTCTTTTCTTTTATTTGTTGTTATTTCTTCTAGATTTATTATATATGGGTATGGAGTTTTATAAGGCGAATTGAAAATTTGCATTTTTTGTTAATAATATTTTATGGAAATTTATAATTTGAAATAGGTATTTTCCCGGTTTTAGGATCTTTTACTTGTCGGCTGAAATGTCCACAAATTATTTTTTTTCTGGAATTCTTTTTCTTGAGAATTTAATCAAACGCCAGGTTTTTTGCAATGCTTGAATGAAGCCGGATTCCACAGAAATAAATTCACAGTCACATTTTTTCGGACTTTCAAATATTTTACAATTTTTCACAAAAAAATAATTTAAAGAAAACATGTATATTTTTTTATTTATAAACCTTTGCGATATTTTCATTCAATTCATTCATTGAATTTCATTTCATTTTCAATAACCATTTTTTTTTTTTGCTTTTTAAAACAAACCATTTTTACACACCTTTTTATTGTATGGCTGGAGAGAAAAATATAAACGAATAATTTTGGGGGTTGTTGTTGCTGCTCGAAAGGAAGCAGACCACAAAGCAGAAGTTAGGTTATTCCTTGGGTTTACGCACTTTTTTCCACAATCAATTATTACTGGAAATTACTTCATTACTTTTTAAAATTATTTTTCACTTCACTTTTTTCCAGACATTTATTTCACAATTCTTTAATAACTTCTTGTAATTTTTTCTTCTTCTTCTTCTTCTTTCAATATGTATTATTATTCCTTTTGTTAATTATTTTAGGTAGGTATTTTATTTTATTATTTTTTCTTTATTGTGCGGGCAACTCTTGTTCTTCACTACTACTGACAAAAGAAAAGGCAAGCAGGCAGGCCACCGTTTCAAAGAGCAGCAGCAGCAGCACCACAGCAAAAGGAATAAAAATTGATGATGATTTCCGAGAATATTCGAAATGCGCGTCGCATGTGTGTTTACTTTAGTACACCAGCAAAGTATCTGACGGATACTCAAACTACTCCAATACTATTGCTTCTTGTTGTCATTGTATGCTGCTGCTGGCTGGCTGGCTTGCTTGTTTGGTGGTGCTCAGAGAATGAGCAAAGCCAAACAACAAAAACAACAGGCAAGCCTGCCATCAAGCAACGAACCAACGACGACGACGACACACAACCAACCATCAAACCAACAACACCGACCAGAGATGGACATTTATAAATGCACTTGTTTTTTCTTTTCTGTGGTGAAGAAATAATGATTGGTACATATAGAGAAAAATAATGAAATAAAAATTCTAAATCGCGTCGACTTTTTTAATTATTTAATAAATTAAAAAAAATAATATAATAAAAACTAGCTCAAAAACCAATTTATAGAAACAATTGTTAAAAGTTATACGTATTTTTATACCCCACCTTCATAAGGAGGGTATATTAACTTTGTCATTCCGTTTGTAACAGGGTGAGATAAAAAAAAAAGAACAAAGTCAAACGACATAATTTTTAATTTTTTTTAAATTTTATTGAATGAAAGCAACAAATGACGGGAATCGCATCAAATTTTAGAATAAGTTTAGATTTGTTCGAACTGGTCACCTTTGGCACGAACTATGGCCTTCAAACGGCCAATGAAACCCTAATACGCTGCCCGAATGTTACTCTGCGGCCCATTCCGGGCGAAGCGCTTGCTTGAGGTGATCGACACTTTGGTATTTTTTAGTGCCAACCTTGCTTTCCAAAATACTCCAGACACAATAGTCCAATGGATTGGTATCCGGAGATTTTGGTGGAAATTGTGCGCTGGAAATGAAGCGAGGAACCTCATTTTGTAAACATGCTTGGATGGCGCGTGCTGAGTGCGATAGTGCTGAGTCCTGGTGAAGTGCCCAAGGCTTTAATACACCCTCCAGAATATTTTCGCGATAATATTCGGCATTTGATCTGATGCCACGGTCGATTAATACGAGCGGAGAACGACCATCGGCGGCCCACACCATCACCATGGCCGGCGCTTGGGTTCTGGTGGCCAACCGAAGGTGCACATTTTCATCTGACCTCTTTGGCAAATAAAAACGATCATTTTGTTTGTCTACAAACTGCTAGACAACAAATGTTTTCTCATCGGAGAAAACCAAATTCGGCAGTTCACTACTTTCGGCCAAGCGAGGCAACTCTTTAGCTCTCTGGAATTTATTTCCTTTCTGTTGCGGTGTAAGTTTTTGCTCTTTTTGGAATTTCAATGGCTTCACCCCGAGCTCATTTTTAATATTTGCCGAATGGAATATTGCGATATGTTCAGCTCACAAGCCATTTTTCGGCCACTGCGACGGGGGTTTCGATCAAGTCGCTTTTCTACTTTTCGAACCATTTCCGCTGATGTTACTGTTTTCTTCCGTCCACTTTCTTGGCGTCGGGCTACGCTGTCGGACGAGTGGCTTAGAAATGACAGCAGTCTTGGTTGCAGTTTTTTCATCTCACCCTGTACATAGTTGAGGGCATATTAAATTCGTCATTCCGTTTGTAACTCATCGAAATAGTAATTTTAGATCTAACAAAGTATATATATTCTTGATCAGCGTAAAATTCTAAGACGATGTAGCACAGTCCGTCCGTCCGAATTAAGATAGGAAGGTAAAATTTTGCACAGGTCAGTCTTTTGTCTGCAGGCAGGTCAAGTTCGATAATGGGCTATATCGGTCCACGATATCATATAGTCCTATATAACGGTACCCCCGATATTCGGTATTTTGAAGATGGTAGAAAAATTATTCAATAGAATTTTCCAAAAAAGAAGTACAAGGAGTTCTTTTTGAGTACTTTACCCCCTGGAAGAGTATTGTTCATATAAGTCCACGATATGGTATATCCCCCATGTAAAGGTATCTCCCTATATTCGGTATTTTGATGGTTTTAGCTACATTTTTCAATGGACTTGTCTGAAAATCCGCACAAAATGTTCTTTCTAAGAAATTTACTTCAATGATAGTTAAATGAATTTGTATAGTCCGCAAATAACGGTACCTGCCTATATTCGGTTTTATGATGATTCTGGCGACAGTATTGGAATTGTTTTCAAATTTCGTATGTAGAGTTCATAATGGGTAATACAGTCCATGACAGAAAATTGTGTATGTAGGTCCAGAACTTCGTATAGCCCTCATATAGAGGTACCTCCCTATATTCCGAATTTTTATGATTTTAGCGACATTATTCACTGGAATTGCATAAAATTTCGTATTTTAAGTTCCTAATGGGCACTACAACCGGTGACAGAAAATTGCCTATGAAGTTGCAGGTCTTCGCATAGCCCCCATATTTCGGTACCTTTTGGTGATTTTATCTACATCATTCACTGGATTTTTTTTTCAAGTTTCGAATTTGAATATTGTAATGTTGTACAAAATATTGCTGAAAATAACAACACCAAAGAAACAGACCTTCTAAAAATTCGCTCGAATTTGAACAGACAGTGAAACTCGCTCGAATTTGAGCGGGATCACTCCTGGGAGCAAACAAAATAGATAGGTAAACTCCGTAAAAGAACTTTTACTCTTCGAGCAAGCCTACTCACGAGCGAGTTTCGCTCCCGAGTGAAAACGAGTAAGTCTGTGCTATGATAAAAAGTTGGGCGTGAGAAGCCAAAACCCTTTTAGTGTTTAGATCTACAAATCCACATGGAGCTTTTACATACCAGAAAAACTGATGCACGGTGACATTTTGAGACAATCTGAAGTTTATTCGGAAGAAGAGCCAATTTTACTATAACGATTTTCTTTTAAACAAAAATTAGATTAGGTTGAAAAGAGTGGTTACCTAAGGTGCAACAATTCCTAGCAATTTTGTTTTGCGTTGTATGGAGATAGGAAGTCATCATTAAACCGATTGTCTGTTAATCTCAGCACTATTTACTAAAATCGAGTTATTTGTTTGTTTCTCATTTGAGAATCTTTGTGTATTTTTTCTCTCGTTCTTCCATAGGAATATATAAGCCTTCTTTGGCCAACCTAAAACTCGTACTACCTCCTGCACCTTGGACTTTTTGATTCATGTCTCTTACAACTGTGGCATTTTTTCTGGGTGACCTGATACCCACAAGATTCGTCTTTTCCTCTAGTGGGTGAAAATGAATAATAGCCTACAAAGCTCTCATCGATATCAGCGACACATTCGTTGGACTTTTAGAATGATTCAAATATTTTACTTTTTATCTATTGATAAACCAACATTGCAATGGGGCGGCCCTCTCCGAAATCGACTATTTTTAGATTAGTTTGTTTCAATGTGTTCGAAAGCTTAGTTTTACTGGTGAATCGTCTTGATCTGATTCAGTCAGCATGGCCGATTCTGCACTCCTATAAGGTAGATTTGTTTTTTTTTTCGCCTCAAAAATCGATTATAATTTTTACCCTCCACCATACACCCGATCAGAACAATTGATTTCGCGTCTGTCTGTTGAATTCTAAAGCATTTGGAACAAAGATTTATGTTATATGTAGGCTAATGAATATTCAAAATGGGCTATATTGGTCCGTATTTAGCTATCGCCTCCATATAGCTGTACCTCGCGTTTTCGGTATTTTGAAGGTTTCTAGAACAATTTCCAACCAAATTGGCTGAAACTTGACCATTGTGGTTCTCAATAGGTCTGTTCTCTTCTGGCAAAAAATGTTCGATTCAGGTCCACTAATTGGTATACCCCCATATAACGTTACCTCCCGATTTTCGGTATTTTGAAGGTTTCTGGCACAAGCCCTTTTTATTTGTTTATGACATCTATTGACTTTACAAGTTTCTTTTGTTCACAGATTTACAATAAAATTTGATCTAGATTTTTAAATATTTTTCTTTTCACTCTATTCCCAAGAAATGAAGTATTAAGGAAGATTTTGACTCAGATTGGAAACAACATATTTTGGCCCTTAACGTGATCATTCAAAAATTATGATTTGTAGGAGAATTTTACATAAACTCACACAAGGTACGACTTGAATGCACCAAACACGATATGTATGTATCTGGTACCTCGCGCACATTTTAACAAAATTATCACATATCTCATATAAAGTGAAGGAAGTAACCAATATTTATATCATATTTTTTAGGTCCGATACGAAATGGACAATAATGGCCCGTTATTTAGGTACCTACTCTATAGGAGTCAACAATTCGCATAATAATAACAGAAGTAAAAATATATTTAAATAAGCGAACATTGGCTAAGGGTATACATCAGTTTTTAGCAATTCCGCTATCCCATCTCTGCAACAAACCAAGCGAAAAATCCCAAGTAAGTGTGGCTGTGTGCTTAATGAGTATAAATCGTTAAACCCAGGGAGCGCGAGCGTGAGCATGCAATGCTAAATGAGTGTGTTAAGAGAAGTACAAAGGCAAACAGTCAGTGAGGCAGGCAGCCATTCAAGCAAGGCAAGCAGGCAAACAGTCAAGTCATACAGCACAACAGTGGAAATAATAGTGGACAGACAGACAGAAACATAATGTGACGATTACGGCAAAGTCAAGCTAGCTATGATGGCTAGGCTAACACAGGCTGGCTGGATGGCAGGCAGGCAGGCAGGCGACTGCGGCCGCATCATTTACAACAATAACAAGACCAACACCACCTCGCCGCACAGGAACAACCAAAACGATGATAATAATAAGACCAACCGACATGCATGGATATAAAATACAGTACAATATCTATCCATCTAAGCCATAAGTCCCCTCTCCAACCAACAGCATCATATCATCGGCAACAGCGGCAATGGCAGTAGACAAGAAGACAATACTACACACCACACAACAACAACGACAACAGTCAAATTCAATTCATTTCAATTCCACCAATGCTTCTGCTGCTTAGGCCAGCCATATTTTAGTACTTTCGTATCGTCATCGGAGTACATGCTCTCCGATTTTTGTAGCAAGAAGAATGTTATCCAAGGCGTCGTCGTCGTCGCCGCCATCGTCGTCATCATTATCATCTCGACATTGTCAAACGGGCCAAAAATCCATAAACTGTTCAATACACAAAGCCGCAGATACAGAGCAGATAAATGCCTGCAACAACAACAACAACGG